CCTTCTGAAAACCTTGCTAATAAATCTGCAGGGACTAGTCCAGGCATTTGCCAGGAATCAATAATGACACAAAGGAAACCCACATGTACAACCTCATACCCTTCCTAAACAGGACATTCTTTTACACTCTTCATGCTAAAATGCAAGATGAAAATAAATAGAATAGAAAAGGGAGAAATTATTATTAGCCACATTTGCATAATTACCAAATACAAGGTTCAATTTCCTTAATTTCATTCATTCATTGGATTTAGCAGACTCTCCAACCCCATAAGACTTAGCATTTCACCTATCTTTCCAAAGCCTTACTCACATCACTGAGCTGAAGTGCATTCTGCTTAGCCTGGACCATGACGGGAGAATCCACAATACTTGTAAATTTAATAGTGTCTGGGTGCTGTCTGTACTTCTTCTCATTTAGAGCCTCTCCTGCTTTTCTAGCTTTCTCCGCTTCAAGGGAACCGATTGGAATCCAGCCAATACCTTTCATCCAGTTGTTAAAATCTCCCTTGTAAAGGTTCTGAAGAAATGAGGAAAGAAAAAAGGAAGGAAGGAAGGAAGGAAGGAAGGAAGGAAGGAAGGAATGAAGGAAGGAAGGAAGGAAGGAAGGAAGGAAGGAAGGAAGGAAGGGATTAATTTAAAAAACACTACTTTTTAAATTACATTTATCTGAACACAAATGTCTGGGCAGACTTACATCACTCTGAATCTGCATCATGTTTTTGGATCGTTCCACATTCATATCATCTGGCAACAACGTGTAATTGTGCAGGAGATTCTTGTAATTGGTATTGCTGACAATTTCTTGGGCTTTCTTAGCGGCTACAACATTCACCATATCAAACGGAGTGTTGTATTTAGTCTTGCTTTGCTCATAAGCTTTCTTATAGTCCCGCTCTGACTGCATCTTGCCCACATTCATATAATGGACTAATTTGGGGTCATCTTGAAGGCTCTGGAAGCCAATCAGTTTGCCTTTGCCTTGTTCATAGCCTTTCTTATATTCAAACTGTCAAAACAAGATTGAAAAGTAGGTTTATTTCCTGATGAGCATCATATAACATACCGATACTATGTAAAATCAGTATTGAAAACAAAAAGGATAGTACGGTCCAAATGAGCAGAAAAGTGTCTACTTTTCAGATTGAATGCATGCATTTAGTAATGGCAGAAGAACTGCAACAAACCACAGCATATAAAGTATGCTTTTGGAGTACTGGTGAAAACTCCCAGGGATTTGCAGAATTCTGCTAAATTCTGTGTATGCAGAATTCTGTAGATACCATTGGTATTTCATGATCAAGTCTGTTCACAGTATACTGAATAATTGCAACAATTGCAGAATATTTTTACTACTGATGATAGTAGTGATAGTAGTAGAAGTAATAATAACAATAAAGATTGGATCAACTAATATTTAAGACAATGTGAAAATTTATACCCCATTTGATTCACTGGGAATTAAATGGAATCGAAGTCCAGTATCACCCTATACCCTTTCATTTGGCATTTACATCCCATTGTCTATGGCAGGGCTTGATTCAAGGTTAAGATTATGAGATTACAGTGACAATTCTCAGATTTTAAGAAGTGTAGCACTGTTACAGAATTTGCAACTGAGATTGAGGTACAGTAAGATAATATACATGTTATAGACTGAGAAAAGTAAAGCAAAATAAGAAACTAAACTATTTTACTGATATATTATTTATCAAAAGTTATTTAAACACTACTATTTAAATATCTGAAGCAGCTTACTATGATTATAAAACAGAATAAAATGGAGGGGAGAGAAGAGAAATAATTGAAACGATTCATGGAAAATAACAAGTATAAACTATTGGCGGAGTTACCAGCTTGGAAAGGAACTCATAAAAAGTTAAAGCTTGGAAAGGCTCCTGAAATGAAGCAGTGTTGGGGCCTGGCAAGCCATAGATGGGAGGGCATTCCGCTCTGCAAAGACTACCCATAACTAAGATGCAAGTGATGCAGTGAGGTAATTGAAAAAGGCAAGGCAGAGCGCTGTTTAAGTTCTGCCCTCTGAAGTTCCATGAAACTGAAAAGTTAAAGACATTCTTAACTCAAGAGTTGTCAAAGTTTTGCTGCCTAATAGAGACTCAGCCACTACTTAACATGTCGAGAGTGCTTAAAAGATGGCTAGTAAAACTGTACAAATCAGTAAACCCATTATGTTGTTGTTAATTGCGAAGTCGTGTCCGACCCATTGCGACCCCATGGACAACGTTCCTCCAGGTCTTCCTGTCCTCTACCATCTTCTGGAGTCCATTTAAGTTCACGCCTACTGCTTCAGTGACTCCATCCAGCCACCTCATTCTCTGTCATCCCCTTCTTCTATTGCCCTCAATCTTTCCCAGCATTAGGCTCTTTTCCAGTGAGTCCTTCCTTCTCATTAGGTGGCCAAAGTATTTGAGTTTCAACTTCAGGATCTGGCCTTCTAAAGAGCAGTCGGGGTTGATCTCTTCTAGGACTGACCAGTTTGATCGCCTTGCAGTCCAAGGGACTCGCAGGAGTCTTCTCCAGCACCATAGTTCAAAGGCCTCAATTCTTTGGCGCTCAGCCTTTCTTATGGTCCAACTTTCACATCCATACATTGCAACTGGGGAAACCATGGCCTTGACTATACGCACTTTTGTTGGCAGGGTGATGTCTCTGCTTTTTAGTATGCTGTCTAGATTTGCCATAGCTTTCCTCCCCAGGAGCAAGCGTCTTTTAAATTCTTGGCTGCAGTCCCCATCTGCGGTGATCTTGGAGCCCAGGAAAATAAAATCTGTCACTACCTCCATTTCTTCCCCATCTATTTGCCAGGAATTGAGAGGGCCGGATGCCATGATTTTGGTTTTCTTAATGTTGAGTTTCAAGCCATTATAAACATTATAAACAGATTTATTTATTTATTAAATGTATAGGCCACCCATCTCGCTACCTAGAGTGATTCCAGAAATGTACCAATGTTTTCTGGGATTGATTTAATTCAGAAATCAGTCCACTAGAACGAAGGTGATGTAGCCTGGGTGGGCTTTTGACACCAGGCTGATAAAGTGGTGTCAAGTCCTAAAAGTGAATTGCCTCCAAATAAACCACTCTTTAGGATGGGCATACTCACATCACTGGCAGCCTTCCTGGCAGATTTAGCAGCTCTAATGGGAATGGCATCGCTCCTCAAGTCATAGCCTCTTGATTTCAGGTCTTCCAATCCCAGTTTGTAATAAGTCTGAAAGAGAATGGATTTATTGAGTTATCAGTTTAATGTCCATCAACTACATCTGCAGCTAAAGTTCCATTTTAAAAATTGCCAAAAGCAAACTTACATCGCTGATATTGTAGGAATTAACCTTTGCCTGGATAAATTGAGGCGCGTCTGCTGGGAGGTTATAACTGTGAATTCTTTCTTCATTTTTGGCTTTATAAAGTACCTGAAGAGGAATCAAGTGTGAAAATCACTGTGACATCCAAAACCAAAAACGAACGTTATAAGTTATTACTAGTCCAAATTACAAGTTTGGTTTCAGTTCAAAAGTATAAGTTACATCTGATCAAGACTCCTTAGTCTTTTAATGGTTCTCTGCAGCAAATTTATAATGCAATTAATCAAAATGCTAACAAACATACAGACATTATCCATACTTACATCACTCCGCTGGGCTTGATTGATTTTAGCCTGAACCACAGTAGGATGATCCTCAATTTGTGTAAATTTAATAGTGTCTGGATGCTGACGGTATTTTTTCTGTTTATGAAAAAACAAATCAATCTCATTTACTGAATTTTTCCATTGCTTCCTTCTAATCATTATCAACCACTTCACCGAAAATCAATATTAAAGATTTTTTTTAAAAAAAAAGTCCATGTATTGAAAGATTTTAAAAAGTAATCAAGGCTGAAAGACTTTGATGAATCTAAAACATTAGCATTTTCCTATGCAAAACGCTTATTCTACCCCAAGAATTGGGTTGCAATGTTGTAATTATTTAATTAGAAGCAAGCAAATAAATAAAGTCCTCCTAAAAGAAGTGTAGTCAGTTTTTTTTTATTCTAGTGTAATCAGTTTTTATACATACTGGGCCACATTAACCACCTTATACATCATATTGTGCCACATTATGGCTTAAAAGTGATCGAGCAAAGTAGAACTAACTATGGATACTTGTATTCATGGATTATTTAACCAATCACATGAACTTAAAACTTCAGTTTATTTCTACTGCTATAGAAGAGGGAGGAGAAGGAGAAGGGAGAAGGAGAAGAAAGCAAATTTCACACAGCAACCTAAGTTGCTTGGTTTTTTTTTCAGAAATTCCAGTCCAGATTGCAGTGAGTTGATAACAGAATAGGACTGGTACTCAGTCCACACTTCAAACTGATTGGTCTTTCCCCTACTTCTTGTCCTTCCCATCTGCGTAAGGAAGGCAGGGCTCACTGGCTTGCTAGATCACTCTACCAGTGCCTGTTCTTTCCTTTTAGGAGCTACGCCCTTCTTACTAGTCCACTGCTTTTTCCTTGGTTTCCCGATGTCTGCTCACATAGATGCCTTCATGTTCCACTTCTCTGTCCTCCCATTATCTCCTTGAACACAAAACCCCTTTGTTTCTTGTTTTTTCCCTTATGACACCACTGTGGCTCTGATGCCATGGTAATGAAACCAATAGCCAACAGTTGTCCTTTCATTCCTACAGCCCTCTGTAGGTTCCAGAGAAAGTATTCAGTTAGGAAGAAGGATAGTTCAGCTTATAAAAACAAATAACAATGTTCATATGTTGTAACATAATGATTAAAAAAAACTAAAAGAAAGAAGTTTTTCAGAACCCCATAACTAAACTGAAATAATAACTGGCTTTCTTTATGCTTTACTTACCTCGCTTACATACTCTGAAGTTCTTTTTGCTGTTTCTGCATCCAGGGATCCATAAGGTATCCAGCCACATCCTTTCATCCAACTGTTGTAATCAGCTTTATATTCATTCTGGAAAAGACCATAATGAATTTTAAAATGGGAAATCCTTGTCTTCAGGTTTATGTGACAATTTATTTGAGCTGTCCTATATGTAGAGGGAACATTTTTTTAAAAGGTAGCCAACAGAAACTATAATTCATGAATTAAAACTAAGATAATTGCCAAAAACAATGTAATTGCCAAAAACAAAATGATGAAATTATTCCAAAACTGGTGCAATGTGCTTCATTAAGTAGGAGCACAACCTAAATGAAAGCAGGATCATCTTTGAAAGGTGCTTGATCTATAAGGTCCATCTGGAAAAACCAGACCTGTAAAGCTATACTAAGACACTTAAAAAAAAACATCCTGGGATAAGAATTTTTCTATATAATCACTAGAAGCTGAACTCAGTTTGAAAGCAACACTTGGCTTTATGTAACAGTTAGGACTTCATACATGGGCAGGAATTGTATAATACTTTTAGAAGCTGTCTGAATTCCAGATAATCCTTTACAAGCAATAGGATATTGCAAATATATGTTATCTCTGTTACACAGACAAGCTACAAAACATTTTTATAGTTTTAAACCTTTCTTCAGTTCTATTTTATATCCCAAGAAAAAAATATTGAAAATTATACTGAAAGCAAGTTTATAAATAAGGAAAGATTGAAAGCAGGGGTATTTGGAACATCCCCCATTTAATTCAGATCAATTATTGGGTTCAGAACTCAAGTCTGTCGATCAATTCAAATCAGTCATGCAATCAAACTGATCTGGGTTTCTGAACTTCTTCAGAAGTGCACACACGGAACATTTGTAATCATTGAACTGATTCAAATACAGTATACTTTCTTTGACTAAGTGATTCAACCTGAATAATCAAACTGATTTTAAAAGTCGATTTGATTTGGACATTTCACTGAACAGCATTTGAATCAAATCCTTGAATTTAACCTTTGTACTGCAGCTACCTATTATTCTTTTCAAATTGCAGAATTTCTTTTCAGTCTTTACATCTATTCTCTTTTTCACCAATTCTCACCAGCCTATATTTTAATATTTTAAATCGTCCTTCCCTAAATGATGCTGTATGGATAATTACAGGTCAGCATATTTTCAAGACAGTCGATGGCCACCTTAGGTTTTAAAGTTAGACGTGCTGAACGGATGTCTGGGACTTATATTCCCAACAAACCTGGAGGACAGCAGTTAGGGAAGGCCAAAATAGACAATGCTCAGTTGGGTTGCTTCCTGCCCCAGTTGTCAAACTCTGGAAAAGGTTTACGGAAATACACTGCAAACTCTCTTGTCTGTATGAAGTATTCTTCAGTTCAACAATGCTAGGTTTGAAGAAACGTTGCTACTTACGTCACTTAGTATAGCATTAGCCTTCTTGGCCAGCTCCACATTAATACTATCCGGAGGGTAAGAGTAATTATGGATGCGATGCCTGTAATCTGTGTCACTGACGATCATCTGGGCTTTCTTTGCTTGTACAACGGGAATCATATCCAGTGGTGCTGTGTATTTGGTCTTTGATGCTTCATAACCTTTTTTATAGAGCAGCTACGGTACAATTAATACAAGTCATTAACCATTTAAAGTTTGAAAAAAAGAAGCCCTCTACAATATCCAGTGGATATGCTAAAAACAGGCACAGTTTTTTTAAAGAATCCTTTTTCTGTAACATGAGGTCTTCTGAAATGACCACTGTCATATGCAAGAAATAGACTAGGTTGGGATTATGCTGACTTTCAAATAAGCCGACGTCAATAGGTATATGCACTTCTGAATATATGCCTGAGTTATTCTAAAAATTTGGTGCAGCTACTGATAACCTAATATTTCATTTCCCCCTGCTTTTTCTACTTACTTCGTAAGTATTCAGGTTAATAGCTCAAGTATTATTTTTATTAACATTTGCATTTCCTCATCATTTTCTTAGACAACTATGAGAACCCACTTTCCTCAAAAGGTGTATTATTATTCCCCCTCAGAGGATGTAACACTCTGAACGTACTCATTAAGATTTCAAAATTATAGATCAGTGGTCCTTTATTAAGAATTTACTGAATGTAAACTTCACCTAAAGGGACACTCCAAAGAAATATCTTCTGAAAATGATTTTACATCTAGATAAATTAACATTTCCAGAGAAGTCAGCATATCATCAACAAACCACATATTATTTGGTTTATCTGTACTTACATCACTCTGTTGCTTGGCCATTTTTTGGCAATGTATCATTTTGGGATCATCTTCAATACTCAGAGCTCCAATTAACTTGCCTTTGCTCTGTTCATAACCCTTTTTGTATTCAACCTGCATGGTCACAAGACAATAATGTACTTTGAATGGCTGCAAATGTAAATCAATCCAAGAGCTACCTTAATTTCTCTGTAACATCACTTACATCACTTGCAATTTTTTGCTTGGCTTTTGCAGCTAGAATTGGAATGGCATCCATCTTGATGTCAAATTTCTTTGCTTTTGATTGATCCCAGTCATACTTATACCAATTCTAACCAAAAGAGAAGAGAAAAATATACAAACAAGTCATGACAAAATGTATTACATACAATCCATAGATTTATCTTAGGGAGTTCATAACCCTATAACTGCATAACTATTTCAATGTGCATGTTATTATGAGTAGACTAACAATAGAATAATCTTTTTTGACCAATCTTTTGACCCACAAGATTTCAAGCTCTTTAACATTCACTCAGTAAATATGTGGAATTTGTATAAAGTAAGCCCTTTATGAGAATAGTTTTACTTTATATTGCAAGGGCTGTCAAAGATATGATCCAGACAATGTAAGATCTAATTTCAGGACATCAGTCTAGAATGAAGCTCTTCATCATGGTCCATGTACCCTAAAGAACCTTTCTTCAAAGCTGGAAAGCAGTGATGTCTGTAGAATAATTGGTTTTTTTTCTATCCATAGTAAATAATTAAACATTTATTAAATGAAGTCTTTTCCTTCATTGGTTTTTCAAGTGAATCTCTGTCCATGAATTCTCACATAAGAACACACATATACACACTAACATTTGCTGTGATTTCTTGGTCTTCATAGCCTCCTGGTTAGCCTCAATAACCTCTTTCCCTAGCATGTTTTTTCTTACCAGCACCTACAGAATCTCCTAAATATCTATTTTAATAGTTTTCTTTTCTTCCTTCTTCATTGCCATCTATTCATCATTCGTCTGTTCAGTATCTCATTTCTTAATTCATCATTGGCCTTTCCCCAAAGCTGATGCCACTCACTAAACTAACTGGAGGTGATGACAGCTGATCATGAAGATAATCTAAGTGCTGATCTAAGTTCTCTGCCTTTAAACTAATCCTCCTGACAAGTGTTACCTGACAATCAAATATGTCCTGTTTTATGTCTTATTATCATCACTGTCATGAATAGCATTATGATTCTCCTCAGTAGCTTGTTTTTTTTTAGCTGTGAAAGCATCATTCATAAGACTCTTACATCACTGATGTTGTAGGCATTGACTCTGGATTGGAGGAATAAGGGAGCGTCTGGAGGGACAGAGCATCTGTTTTTCTCAGCTTCATGTTTGGCTTTGTAGTTCAACTGAAATGCAAAATGAAAATCACATAAAAAGTGATCATTTGGAGGACAGCAGTTAAGCATGCTAGCATAGGCTTTTAATGCTTGAGCAAAATAAGAGGGAAATCCAAACCATTAAAGTAAACATTTTTCAGAGTGGTACCTCGGTACTCATCCTTAATTGGTTCCGGGAGGCACAATAAGTACCAAAGACAATGAGTACCAAACAATTTTTTCCCATATGGAATAATGTAGTGAGTCACACACTGACAGGTTCTAGCTTATGCGTTGAGTACCAAACAAACAATGAGTACCGGGACAAAATGTTCATGTCAAAGTGCATTGAGTACCAAATTCGATGAGTTTCAAAGCAGTTGAGTGCCAAGGTACCACTCTACTTTAATAACCATCACAATAGAAAGGCACGCTATAAATCAAGTAAATAAGTATGTTTACATTGTTCAGTTAATTCAGGAAGGGTTGGATCGATGTCAGTTAGCATAAAGATAGAATGGACTTTTGTTTTCATGAACACAACAATAACAGATCCCCATCTGTTTTCATAGCATACATCTTTTGAAAATTAAAAATAAGAAGCATTACCACAAAACAGTGTCAAAAATAGATCTCCTGTGTTAAAGCAACATTAACAACTTCTCCATCCCTGCTGATTGATTACAAGCTCAGCCCTTGTTTTTCCAATTATATTGCTACTTGTTTTATTGACCCTGGTATTAAACATGTGCAAAAATATACAAGTTTGGAAACAAAACATTCCAAGAAATACTGAACTATTCCATTATTCTTTTTGACTACTATGGATTTGATTGTTCCAGGGATGATCCAAAAAATTTCCAGAAGTAAATCTTTTGGAACAAGACGTCATCTCCCAGTCTCACATTTCCATAAAATTTACATTGAGAAAGCTTTTGGATTACCCTCAGGATGGCTGGATTGGTATGGTCTAGAGCAGACCTGGGCATTTTATAGTCCCTGGGCCACATCTGGCTCTTGGGTTGCTTTTATTTTGAAGGTGACTGCTATTTTTTTCTTCAATTTACTTATGTATGTGCATGTATGCATGCCTACACATCTTCATGGCCTTATTGTTTTGGCACTCCACAAGAGTCCCAGTTTCTCATGTGGGAATATTAATTGCCCATCCCTGCTCTAGAAATAATTAGGCATTTTGATATTCTTGAAAATGTTATGTTCCTCGCATGGTATGTTTTGAAAATCATAAACTGGAACGTTTTCAACATTCAGGTGATAAAGCTACAACTTCATGAATAGAAACCCGTTACTAGAAGAGAAAGCATCTGACAAAATAAGGCCAGATGGGACTTTGTTTGAGTTGCTAGGTTACTTACATCACTCAGTTGCTTGGAATTAATCTGTGCTTGTACCATAACCAGCGAATCTGTCACAGGGGTAAACTTGATCTGACCAGGATGTTTCTTGTATGCATGCTAGACAAATGAGAAAAAAAAGGTAATTGCATTTACTTTTAATATATATCAAATTACGGTTCTACTTTTCAGTATCTACAAAAAAAATATTTTTAAAAAAATTCTAGCATACTAATATGGTCCATTCAATCATCAACAGTATACCTAAACAACCCACTGCTGTTTACAAATCTTAAAGTCTTCTGATTAGTGAAGATGTACATTTTGCTATTTTAACTAAAAGACCTGAATAGAAGCATGTTGTCCCATACTTGTTACACACAGATACAGTGTTACACTCTCTATTTGCACTGCTGGTGATCAAGCCTATTAGTAGTAAATCTATACAACATATTGGAAACAAAACCCATCTCTTCAAAAGACTAAAGCATCAACTGTTTGCAAGGCTTTACAGATGTTTCCAGATCTGTTCCTGCAGGGTCTGCGTGTCTGCCTATGCAGGGATTGTCTGTAAAATGAAGTGGTGGTGTCACACACATGTGTGAAAGCAACCGGGCCAGTTTTTTCAAGCACACAAGGCAGCTTTGAAAAAGACAAGGGTACTTTAACACTCCCCAGAAAGATGCTTTATTCCAATATCCTGGTGTAGGTTTTCACAGCCAATATCTCTCGGGCAATGTTGGGCTTCAGAGTTTAGTAACCATGTCTAGAAAGCATCTTCAGTCCCTTCGCGAAACATCCCTTTCTAACATTTTGCCCTGCTTTAACGAAGAACATCCATACACGCATGAGCCAGCTTTTATGGCAATATTTGTTGTATTTGTTTCCTGCTGCAAACAACAGGGGCTTGTGGTAGCTTACATTCATAAAACACAGATAAAACATCTGCAATGAACAACAAACATTGAAATATAAAACAGACACATAAAAAAATACCGAAATAGTAAATAACCACTAGTAAAAACTAAGTCAAAAGGGGGTAAGAGCCAAGATGGCGGACAGGCAGCAATGACTGTAAAGAGAGCCTCCAAAAGTAAAGTAACCTTGTACTTTAAATCCATGACTGACTTTTACAAACTCACATGTATTGGAGAGGCTACCAATCTGGTCTAGCTGCATTTTAACAATACTACAAGCCAGGATTTTTAAAAATGGGGAAAAGGAGAAAGAGACAGCATGCTCACTCTGCAGCACAGAGCTCGTCCAAGCCTTTGAAACAGCAGAAAATGGATGATTATACAGCAGATGGTCTGCTCCAGTAAGTAACTAAACTGCAGTCTCCTTACCACCAGATGTCACATGAATCCTATATGTATATCTGAAAAGCGCAGTAATAGAGAAACAGCAACAAAACTGGAGAAGCAAGACCTACTACAAAGTCCAATTTTGGTCTGCCAAAATATAAAAAAATTAAAATTGTGCAGGTGATGCTACAAAGGCATCTGTTACAAGGCTTCAGACTGATCTCTTCAGAAGGAAATGTTTGAACCAATGAACACTACTAGGAAAATGCCTCTAGTCTGTGCTTCGTTGAAACAGTTCTGTGGTTTCTTAAATTCTGATTGGGCGTCACATGTGATGTACCAATTCCAATTTCACCTTACATGAAAACATTGTGGCTCTTTCAGCATTATATCTGGGTTGTTTAAGAAAAATGGTTAATTCCATTCTAATGGCAAGAAAACTATGTGGATGGGTGTCCACAGAGGGTAGGAATGTGGAACAAGAGCCCTCATGTGCATGATCACTACGAGTCAAGACCAATCCAAGGAAACATTTATTAGCATGGTAATATTTAAGTTTACTTTTTTTAAGGAACACTTCAGCAGTTTTTTTAAAGACTTTGGACTAAGGTACATATACATATAAAATCACACAGTAACATTGACTTACATCTTTGCACACGTCCAGCTTCTTCATGGCTTCATATTCTTGAGTTATGGTTTGAGGGAAATAGCATTTAGCTTTATCGTCTTCATAGTCTGCTTTATAGTTTTTCTAGAGAAAACACCAGAGTTCAATAAGCACCATGAACTGAACAAGAAAGGAGGGGGAGAAGAAAATAGGTACAATTCATACTCACGTCGCTCTTCATGGCTCCAACTTTCATGCAATGGGCTTCATAGGGGTCCTCAAAGGTGCCTATGTACCGGCCCAAGACATTGGCTATGTAAGGCTCTTTGTATTTCACCTGTGGAGCGACACAGTCACATGTTGTAGTAAGGCAAGCAAGACTATGTCTGGAGCAGAAGCAAAGGAGAAATCTCCACCACACTTACCCCACTGAAATTCTTAAGAGTGTTGTCGACCTGGTACTGTGGAGTCTCACAATAGTTAATGCTTACTCCTTTTGCTTTTTCATATGCTTCCTTATATAATCTCTGCAAGAGTGGGAAAAATGGAGAAAGGGGGATTAGGAAACGATGTTGCAAATATTGTTCCTTCTGTGTCTGCCTGGCTTCCCACCTACACACCTATTATCCTGAAATGTTCATCACAATGTATTCCAAAAGATTTCATCCAAATTTACATTCTGAATCCATAATTAGGTTGGAAACATTATAGTACATATTTTATTGATGGAATTTATTTATTTATTTATTTTTGCTTACATTTGTAAGCCCACCCAACTGAAACAATTTGACTCTGGGCAGCATACTACAAAAGTAAGAATAACAAAAAATATAATAAGAAAGAAAACTCAGTATATAAACTATAAAATAGCAATAAAATATATTAGTACCCCAACCAAAAGAGACATCCATGCAACTAGGCCCTAATCGCCTAGAAAAAAATCATGTAATCTGAATTAAACCCATGATGCTTAGATTCAGATAGGTTGATTTCAACAGTGGCTAGAATTTGTTTATGAAAAATCTATCACAAATTCTAATGAAAACAACCACTGCACCTCATGCAGTTTAACAATGGTTGTTAATGGCCCAGTTGGACAACTGTCGAATACGGATCTCCCATTTAGGTCTTTGATGATTGAACATTTTGATGTTCATGAATTAATTTTATTCTATTTCAAATACTTTTTCATCAGACAGTTGAGGAGTCCTTGCTGTTCTCTGAGCTCAGTTGTTTGCCTGCAGATGTTTTGTTACCAGTGTGAGCTACTGATATTAAGTTTTATTGGTATCATCAGACAATTCACTAAACATAACTGTGAATAAATTAGCTTAATTATATAAATATACATTATAAAATTGAAAGGTCCCAAATTTAATATAGTCATAAAAGAAGACTATAAGAATCATAAAAATGTTATCAAGTTACTAAAGGTACATATGGTATGTGTCTTCGTTATTGGCTACTATTAAAATACTACTGGATGCAGATTATAATTTTCAAAAATGATTTAGGAATTCTTATTTCATTACTAATTTTTTTTTTTTTGCTTCATAGCTCTAGAATACAGGGAGCCAAAAAAGGGTTGTGCTACATCATCACAAAGGTTCCAGCCACACACCCCATTTTACCCTATTTTGAGCTTACTTACGTCATTTTGCAGTTTGCCTACTTTCAGAGAATGTAACATTTTGGGATCATCCTGGACGCTCAACGCTCCAATAAGCCTCCCTTTGCCCATTTCATAGCCTTTCTTGTACTCAACCTATAGGGAGATATTAGGATAAAATATTTTCATAGGCTACAAACTTTGTGTGCAGATTGAAAGTTAAGTGTTATTTCTCTGTGTCATACTTACATCGCTCGCAATTTTTTGCTTTGCTTTAGCAGCCAGAATTGGGATGGCATCTACTTTGATATCAAACTTATTTGCTTTTGATTGATCCCAATCATACTTGTAGCAATTCTAACCAAGAAAGAAGAGGAAAATAAAATGGATCATCCTGAACTAGGAATCAGAAGGATAAATCTTTTTTTTAATCTAATGCTATACCTCAACTTGATTGACTAAATGAAAACATTCTTCAGGATAAGAGCAACAATCATCATTTCTAACCAACTGAATAATAAATTCTAACATTCTTTATGCTGCAATAAAATATCATCAAGAAATAGAATCACCTTTAAATATTTGTAACTTTCACAAAATGAGTCCATTATAAAGTGGATCTATATGTACAGATTGATTTGGCAATCTATACCATTCTAATGGGACAGATTTAGAATATTTCTTTATCTATATATCTATCAATGTATCTATTGATCAACAAGAATATTGATATAAATATAGAGAGAGACTTAAACATAGAGAAATCACATATCTTCATATAATGATTATTTGGTTCTAGATACATCTACCTAGATGTACACATTGCCTGTCCTTCACTCCCCATCCCTACTCATAACCCAGACTCTTTTCTAGTAATTCCTGATTACAGTCACTCATATTCTAACTCAGGGGTGTCAAACTCACCGCGACGTGTCATGATGTATCGTGACTTTTTTCCCATTGCCGGAGCTGGGGTGGGTGCGTTTTTGGCATGACGCATCTGGCCCGTGTTCTAAGTACTTCTAAGAGTCTTAGCACCCAACTGGCCTATTCTACATCATTTCTGTTTCTATACTTTCTCCTGCCAAATATGCACAACACATTCCTAGATGTGCTGAGAAATTCTGCTTTCCCAATTCCTTCTTAAATCATCATATCATTCTCTCATTTTATTTCATCCACTGTATCGATAAATCTTGGTTTTTGTGTTGTTTTAAATATAGCTAATTAGATTGGTTCTTTTCAAGCTTGCTGTCCTTGTCCATGCTGACTATGGATTACAAGAGTCTGTCCAATGTATTCAAAGAAGATTCAACTAGGCTTGTTCACTGTCTGTCTAATTGACATAGCACTGCAATATTAGTAGTAATAATATTATTTATTAAGACATTGAGTCATAAGAGCAGCTGTCCATTATACTCACATCACTGATATTATAAGCATTGACTCTGGACTGGAGAAATAAAGGAGCATCTGGAGGTATGGAACATTTGAATTTTTCAGCCTCATGTTTAGCTTTGTAATTCATCTGAAATATAGAATGAACAAATAGTGGAATATAAATTGCTAACACACGCTGCTCTTCACTGTGGGATGAATTCCTTCTCCTAGAGACCAACTATAGCTACAGACTTTTTTCTAACCCCGCTAACTATTGATCAAGTCATCAATGCCTTGTTCCAGTACCCAAACCAAATGCCTTCCCAGAAGGACTACCTTGTCAAATTGATGAACCTTCTAAAGGAGCAGATGGGACAGAATGGTGGTGCCCACGGAGTACCAGTTCTTCCCTTACATCAATAGCATCAATTTCAACTTTTTAAATACCAACTTCCTTTCCTGACAAATATGTTTGAAATCTAAGAAAATTTACTACTTTCCTATTTCACATGAGCCATATATCTGCCAGGGACCAAATGCTTTATTAGCAACAGAAATGATATAGGATTTTCAATAAGCCTATTGATGGAGGGAGTTATATAATGGTAAGCCTCTCCTCCCCAGGGCTTATTCAGAAAAGTTCAGATAACCACAGTTTAATTTTGTGGTGTGCTTGAGTGTTAACTTTGAAGATCTGGTCAAGTGAATAACAGACGTTTGTATAACTAATATGATCTGGAAAATGGCTCACTAGGCAATGAGGAGAGGAATGGGAGGAATTCCTCATCAAGAAGAGATAAAAATATGTCCCCCTCTTGCTATCCAGTGTCAGGAAGAAGGAGGGAATAAAGAGGCCTGAAATGTAGTCCACTTTCAGTTCTTATTTGGGTAGAACATCCTTCCTTCCTTCCTTCCTTCCTTCCTTCCTTCCTTCCTTCCTTCCTTCCTTCCTTCCTTCCTTGGTTTATATGCCGCTCGGATTCAACAGGATTTATGGGATACACATTATAGTATGCTAATACATATAGAATTATTTTCTGCTCTGACAGGATGGAACTCCATCCTCCTCTCCTTGTATTGGAACATTTAGTCTATTTTCTCAGGCCACAGAAGGACATTGTGGGCTTAAAAATGGCTAGAGCTGAACATATTTTTTCCCTTGATATTTTTAATTGATAGCTATAAATGTCATTTACCAAAATCTATAAGACTATAAGAGTTTGAATATCAAATTATTCGATTAATGTAATCACATATAATTCCTGTTATTTCTAAAGCATTGATGGAAATTTGTGGATTTTTATTTGGTGTTGGAATTAATATAAATATTTTGGAATATTCCAAGAGCATCTAATTGTCAATGTAAATACTTTCATTGTTTTTATCTCTAATTGATATTAATCTAAAACAGATTATTTACAATTCTCCGAGTATAAAGAATAAATTAAAGGTTGCAAAAAATAATATTTCTTCAATATAGGTACTTAGAGGGAGTCCTATTTTAATACCTTTAATACCTTCAAGGTATTTTATTACAAACATTTCTACAAAAAAGACAAACTTCTATGTTTTCTTTATGCAAATTATTATCATTTCAGGATGTGATGATGTCAATTTTTTAGATTTTCAATTTTATCACTGGACATTTAACTCTCTCCCTCTCCCTCTCCCTCTCCCTCTCCCTCTCCCTCTCCCTCTCTCTCTCTCTCTCTCCCTCTCTCTCTCTCTCTCTCTCTCTCTGGAATTCCAATGATCAAAAACACATTCAGACTTGAGCAGTGAAGAGTTTTTCTGCTGTTTGTGAGTCAGCATCAAAGCACACCAGCTTCAAATGTACTGGTTCCAATTCTGACTCTTTTTCTGCCTCAGTAATGAGGCAAACAGGTTTGATCAACGAGGAAAGTAAACAAAGAGGTGAAAAAAATGCCTCTTTGGTGTCAATTACTGGTAGCAGAAGACTTGTAGATGGACTTCTGGTACAGGTCAACAAATGTATGTTGACCTGTACCATCCCTGAAAACCAGGCACTGCTATGCCTTTTCCACCAAGCCAGGGTAGATAGCTTTGTCTTGGGGATTGGCAGTTAAAGAACAACTTCCCTTCTACTTCTCTTTCCCCACAGTTTTCTTGTCCTTCAGAATATCTCAGTCGGACAGGACAATTAGACGCTTTATTGTGGCTTCTTCTCAGGCAGCTCTCTTGTCTTCTTTTGAAGTTGTGGGGGAAATGGCTTTGAGGCACAATGGGAAAGCTTTGATTCTCCTGTTGTCAAATGTTGGATGACCAGGGAGCCAGAGGAAGCCAATAGCAGCAGGGCAGTTCACCTTCCTACTTAACATTTCCTAGAAATGAGGTACTGCAGACCAGCTGAACTACAAGATTTGTATTGCCTATGGTGGAAAATGCCACGTTAAAGCAAAAAAAATAAATAGTGGGCAACAGATTGTTTTTCTAATGGGACAAGGCTGAATTTAAAGATGATCACATCCATTTCTGTGTTTCTGGAATGGTAGGAAGGCATCTTCCTGCCACAGTTTGCGATACATGTGAAAGGGTCTCAAGATTTAAAAAAAAACAATTAAGGATACAATTACAAACATTTTAGAGTCATCTAAATCATCATCAATGACATGGTCAGTTTCGCCAGAGATTAAGGAGAGGAGGAGGGACAAAATAGAAGAGGTGGCATAGGGATGAAACCTGCTGAAGTAGCAATAAGCATTTTCTAGAAGTTAAAAATGAACAGTTTGTAAATCTTTCTAAGCTATTCTGAGCACCAAACAAACACCTGTTAACTGAGAAGGGTGACAGAAAAAAATGCCCATATTTAAAATTCCACAAGCACAACCCTATGCACGGCAGTTTCCCCGGCACCTGGAGGAAACGGTCTATCTGGACCCTCTCCAGTCGGGCTTCAGGCCGGGGTACAGCACGGAAACGGCATTGGTCACGTTGGTTAATGATCTCTGGAGGGCCCGGGACAGGGGTTGTTCCTCTGTCCTTGTTCTTTTGGACCTCTCAGCGGCTTTTGATACTGTGGACCACAGTATC